CAACGTCTCCTCTTTCAGCCAGGACACCGTGACCTGTTTAAATCGCACTTTGAGGGTGCAAAATGGGCGCGGTCTCCTGGTCGATCAGCTCGATGAGGTTGTCCAGTGTTGTGCAGCAGGAGAGAAAGACTCGTCGGTGAGAATGGCCATCAGTCGATCCAAGGTCAAAAGCTGTCATCACTGGTACAGCGGAGTGCTTTGGAGATCCTGGTTGTGTGGCGGCCCAGCACGAAACTCTGAGTGAACGTGGCATAGCCACAGCTACGCTCGCTACGCTCGCCACGCTCGTTACGCGCACTCCTCGGTGTTGAACCGCGAAAAAAGCAGCTTTGTTTCGCGATCTCATGGCCCCGAGGCAGCGAGGATCACAGCGAGTCCTTGCTTTTGGCCCAACGCATCTTTACATATGGTGGAGGCTGACGGAAGAGTCAGAAGGATGCTGAAACGTGTCACGTACTTTTTCAGCTCTGGTTTCTGTGTTAGATTGCGTGCATGCACACAACCATGGCATGAGATTCAAGCAGCTTCACACAACAAAGCCATCTGACCGCTGTGAGGTGGCTTGATTTTCAGCTTCTGGGCGTGTGCGTCCTTGGCGGGTGCGTTCGCAGCCTCAGTCGTTCTCACCTCTGGGTCCGGTCTCCGCCTCAGAGAACCGAGGTGGAGGGTCCCTGGATCCCTCTCGGAGCCCAATCCGCAGACGGCCAAGGCTTTGTCGTGCGTGGTCGGCTGGGGTCGATGTGAAGCAAAGACAGTCGCCAATTGCTGTTCTTCCTTAGTCCTTGGTGGTTTGGAGGAAACCGGAAAGCTTCTGTTCTAGATATATAAATGGGGATGTAGCTGGTGCAGGTTCAAGCAACAGCATTGCTTGCATGAACAGTGAACATGTATCTTGCACATACTCATTGTAATCATCGCCGGCTTTCAGTGTTGCTCAAATGAGATTGGCCTGGTTGGCTGAGTCCGGCTATGAGATGCATCCGCCACGATGCGCAGGTCTTTAGTCTGCATGGTTTCTCACGGCAAATGCTGGGCCTCAACCTTTGCTTCCTGCACCTTGGGTGAACAAGAGAACAAGGACACTGAGTCATCGCGTTTGCTCTCGCATCGCGTAGAGAGTCCAGAGAGTCATTTGAGTCATTTTCTCTTGGCCGTCATCTGGAATGCGACCGTCCGAAGCGTGGCGCTGAGGTTCCTCCTTGTTTCGATGATGTCCATTTCAATTCCAACGCCCGCTCAAAAGACGTGTGACTTTGATATCACTTGGTGCCTGGGCTGGAAGACATGTCCGAGAAGAAAGGGGACTTGTCGGACATGCGGAGCTCAACAAGGAATCGCTAGTAGGTTGGAGGCCTGGACGCCATCGCTACTAGGGTGGAGGCCATCGCTACTAGGGTGGAGGCCATTGCTAGTAGCAGCAAGGGATCCTAGTGACCCTGCTTGAAGACCTTTGGCGATGGTTTCAGGGGCTCCAACGAGGAGGAAATCATCCGAGTCGAGTGCCAAGGTTCGTCCTTACCCATCTGGGCACCCGATTACTCTTAAGCTGCTCGGTGTGATTTTGAGACGGGAAGACAGGTTGCAAGGAACTTCGCAAGGCGAAGAGGCCCAGTTGATCCAAGAAAAGCAGCAGGTTTCTCGCTCAATGAGTCAACGACCTACCCGCTGAGGCTTTCTACTCTTCATCTTGATGACTGCTGGAGTGACTGCTGCCAAGGTCTGATGGTGCCTGTTGGTCCAAATTCTCACAGAATTGCTCAGTGGTGAAGTTTTTGACACGCAGGAGGCAGGTCAACCTGCCCCGGTCAGGTGGTCTCTATCATGCGAGATATGCCCAAGGCGAATCTCTTCTTGCCGTGGCAGGAGGCGGAACATCTGGGGTTGGCGGAAAAGGGAGATGCAACTTCTTCATCACTTCTGATTGGCTTCTACAATTATGGGACGTGGATGAAGGTACAATCTTCAAGTCCAGCAGGACAACAATGAAATGGAACCTCTAACAAAAAGTCACAGAATGTGCAAGCTGGACACAGAGAGGCGCTGCTAAACATATCAAAACAGTGGTGCACCAATAGAATTTTGATCCAGCATGGTAACTCACACGCATTTCTGTTGGTTGACCTTACAGGCTTCTCAATGCCTTTGTTCTCTCTCCACTTGGACCCACAAGACTGTTATTCTGAAGAGAACTCTCAAAACCACTGCAGGAGGGTCACTGTACTACACCATGTTCAGCACCTCAGGCGTAGCATGGCATCCCGAGTTCGCCACGCCTGCGAGTTCGCACGAGGCCGAACGCTTTGCTGCGAGCGTGTTGGAGGGGCAACCCTGCTGGATGGACCGCGCCGTGCAGGTGCCGCAGCGTTCCTTGGACGCATCGAGCAGCCGAACGTCGCGAACATCGTTTCTAGTACCTGAACAACCCTTTGATACACAAAAATGTGTACCACAAGAAATCTGCTCGTTATACAAAAATGTGTACGTTTAGGTAGCTCAAAAAAGAATGTGTACCACATAGGGGGTGGGTCATAAGACATATCATCAGTGTGCCTAACATTGTGGTGGGACTTGATCGGAAACCCATGCAGAAACTTTTTTTCCATGCGCAGCAGCAGCATCTCATATGCACAAATCCATGCCTGCAGGCAAACAAAAGGAATCACAATGAACAGTGCATGTGATTCATTGCAACAGATTGGACCAGTACATGGTATGCCCGAAGTTCATTGAAACATGTTTTGTTGCGTGTTTTTCTTGCAGCTGCAACCTTTTGCTGTGCACATTCGTTCTTGTAGGGTGGACCTTGTTGTGAGAATCCCTTGTTCACCTTTGTTGTTACAACCCTGTGTTTCACTGTCTATTGGAACATTTCAGTGGGTGGCTTTGGAAACCTTGTTTTCAAAAACACTTCATTGAGAAACAGTCTTTGGGACCTCCAGTTGTAGGAATGTTTTATGCACAACCTTTGTCAAGGAACACTTCAATTGAACAATGCATGCGTTATATGTTTATTGGCAAATAACCATTGCACACTGTGGCAGCCTTCCCGACAGTAGATGTCACAGCCGTCTTTGTTTCCAAGATCTGCCTGTCATGCGGACTTGCTGATGAAAGATGTACTAGATTTGTCCACACACACCCCACATTATTTCATATGAACATCATGGGCCATCAAAGAACCCGCCTTCATTCAACCAACCTTCTTCTCGCCACTTGCGTTTGTAATGCATAAGTGCTCTGCGTAACGTACCCACACAAATTGTCCAGCTGTGGCAGCGGCGAGACATTCTAGAAACCTTCAGCCACAAGAGGTGTGACTATAGCAATCATCATTTGCCAATTGAAGACCATGCACTATTGGAGACAAGTAGCACGTCCGATGTAGTCTTCATCTAGCCATGTGGCAAAGACTCAGCTCAAGCAAAACAAGCTTCTCCACAGGTGTGACAGCTGCCAATATGTATGCTTCAGGGCAACCCATTGGACTTAGGATCATTTGGGCTCCTCTGCCTATCTGATCCACCATCCACAACCTGAAGCAAGAAACCCGGCAGAACTCATGTCATCAGTCAAAAATGCAACACAGCAACATGAAGTCCATTCAAGTGAGCAACCCAATCTCTTGTTGGTGGTGTAGCTTGGGTTTTTTTTGCATACAATTTCCACTTCTGAGCTGTACTCCAATAGTGTAGCGCAGAGAAACCTTCCTTGTATGCACGAAATCAGTAAGGGTTTGAACTGCAGCAGCACAAAAATGATCAATGGCCACTGGTCAGTTGCTTTCAAGAATCAGTCAAGTCATGGCATGCTTGTGCCAACTGAATAGCTTGAGGCCTAGGAATCCACCTCCTGCCACTGATTCCTCTGAAGTAGAACTGAATGTTTCGAAAAGTCCAGCGGAGAAGTTCCAATATTTCAGCAGAAGGGGCCTGAGATATTGAATATCACTACATGGTCAAGGTTAAGCTGACAATATATTGAACTTCCTGTGCACAAAACTTGCATGGTACAAAGAAGTTACTGTAAGTTGCAAGTCGCGCTGCACAATCTGAGTTGGTGGGGGGCACCAAGCACAACAAACAGGAGCCACTTGCACATGACTGCAGTGTCGAAGGCTTTGCCTGCAAGCAACAAGCACACTATGAAACCTTCAATGTCATTCCTCCAGCACACACATGCAGCTTGAAATCCACTTGGCCTCCCATGTGCGGATAATGTTGCAACCTTCAACATCACAAGCAAGACAACAAACAACAATTCTCACATGTTCCAACAATCATTTGAATGCATGTTGGCATTGAAACAAGGAGCGATTGGGCTTTGAACGTTTTCTGCAGGTCAAACTCTGTGATACTACAGGTTTGCTTGTGCCTTACAGAAGCAGGAGGACAAACGACGAATTCCCTAGAACGTTCAAACAAAAAGTGAATCCACAACATGCAAACTCAATACATTCACATGCACAGGTTGCAGCCCAATCACTGCACTTTCCATGCATGAAAATGATTGAATGCATATTGAAGTTGGGTCTCAATCGTTGTGCCACCAAACCACTTCAAGCAGCAAGCCAACAGCACCTGAGCCACCCCAAGTCCACAACACCCCACTTGCATCAAACTGCATTTGGTTCCCAAACAGTGACGTCAATGTTCTACATGTCAAGGTACTATTGTTGAGCCACATACTATTTGTCCAACTCCAAGATGCCACGTGTGCATCTGATCTGGAGGAGCATCCGTTGGTCCCAAACCAGCCACACTGTGAATCCTAGCCGGCACATCGACCTTTGAAGGCCACTCTCCAGGTCGATGTCCTCGCCATTGAGCTTGCAAAGCTGTACACCACCAGTCCTTATACACACTACACACGATTATAATACAAAGACAATCTCAATGCAACAACCTGAGGATCCTGCTTGGGACTCACAATATTGGCAAATCCGTCTCGATTGAAAGCCTGTCACCAACCGGTGGCATTTTCCTTAAATCAACACTATATGCTCAGGTATGCCATGCATGTTCACTGTGCAAGATGACACACAGACCACCAAGAAAGTTGAGCTTTGGCTGCATGTTCCACAAAAGTTCAAAAGCCTGATCATTGTATAATGCAAAACAGTCTCGCTGCCAAGGCCAATCTCCTTTCACACCACAAAATGCCACGTAGATTTGGTGCAAAGAGCCATCCGGAAATGTCACCTTCAAAAAACTCAACCACGAAGCCTTTCTCACAGGTGCACATGGTTCATGGATTATATAAATACAGTATATTACACACAGCCATCCATACTGTCAACAAGTTCTCCACATATGAACAGAATGACCTCCACACCATTCTCGAAAAGGTCTCGCATGTCGTTTGCCACCGCATTGTGCAATGCTTCGAGGGTCTCGTCACCGTCCAGACATGCATAACGTTCACCCGGAAATACAGAGGCCAACAAACGAGACTTGAAGCTATGGCCTTTGGAAAACAGAAGCGGCTGATAGGAGCAGACAAGGATTGCTCGATGCAAACGACCTCTGCCTTCATCTCCATGGTACATGAAGGGTAGGGTCCATGCCAATCGTTCTGGAGTTTTGTAGATCTCATGGTTTGGGTCCACTGTTTGGTATAAGCTCCAAAAAGCCTTGAGCTCATAATTCCATTGAGCACCCACTGGCAGCCCATTGCACAGCATCCTTGCATTCGTCTTCTGAAAAATCAGCTTCAACCAGCTGCTCAGTAGCAGAACTGGCCAAGGCGCAGCAAGAATGGAACCACGAAATTTGCAAGGAGTCATGACTGTTGTCGGGGCTACCATCAAGGTAAGACCCCAAGATTGGATAAGTCTGTGCAAGTTCCTCGCCCAGTGAGAAGGTTGGCTCCAGCCAGCCAGCTTGTTGAGTAAGCTGGGATGGCCTGCGCTTCAAGAGGTAGTCAGAATGTCATCATATCATATGTATGCACATTGAGGCCCCAGCTGCCATCTGGCAATCTCAGGCCACTGGTCAAACGTGCAGCAGAAACACAGCTCCTGCAAGGACGATGGAGTAGCAAGCATTGAGGAAACACGACTCACACACACACAGAACAGTGTCCTTGCACCATCAGCCTGGGTGAATGGCAACATCAATTTCAACACACAATTCTGGGACTGCAACTGCCTTTTAAGCAAAGACACTCCAATTTCGAAATGTTCAAGCAATTCCTCCAAGAGAGCTTGTTGACAGTCAACAAAGTTGATCTCGGGTCTCGTTGGTTGGCCTGTGCAAGGTGATGTATTCAAACAAAAAAAACTCTAATACTCTAATTTATTTATATATACATATTGTTTGGCAATGCTGTGATCATTTTCACACATGTGGTGAGAACTGCCTGGAATGGGAATTATCTCACCATGGCTTTCTGCCTCAAGGTCTATGCCTGCATGCAAAAGACCCACAAAGTAGCAAAGACAAGCAACAAACATGTGATCATTAAAGTGCATTACCAATATTAACAGCAAATGTCATGCCAGCAGTTTGTCACACTTTGTCCCATGGCCGCAACGTCACACATGTTTATAGAAAGCGAACTTGCACCGTGTGCTTTGATGCAAGAACAGCACACTATTGGCAGGCTCACAACATCCAAAGGTCTCGAAGACCAAAATCCTGCGTTCTGAGGCAATAAACAAAACTTCCAGGAACCTAGTCTCTGGACAAGAAAACATCCACTCACAGCAGTAATGTTCATTTGGTAGCGAGACAGTCCTGCTGCAGAACATTGCAGCTTACTCTTCTTTGACTGCTTTCTTTTCCTCCTTCTTGCGCTTTTTGGCTTCTTCAGCTTTCTTCTTCTTCTCTTCTTTCTGTTCCGGGGTCTCTGGCGCTCTCCACTTCCTCCCCGCTAGGTCAACCGTCTCAACAACAGATGCATGTGACCATGTTACGATGTGCTGCATAGTGCTGTCGCATACCACAATGTCACTGTGACTATGTGCATGTGAATGTGACATGTCTCGCACCTGGCTCGGACAACCCAAACATTCATCATTACGTCTTCCTTTGTGCATGAGACAAAGTTCTGCCCCAAAGCCTTTTGCTTCTCCCTGAGACTGCAGAAGTATGCACACATGAAAGGACACACTGCAACGCTACAATGCATCATATAAAGCACACTAAGCCAGCACCATACATCATACAGACACAAGGCCTGTCAGGAGCTGTTACCATGGCGTCACCCTGCAACTCAACCAGTTTCGCGTAGATCTTTTGAAGCTCTTCGAGAGGTTTGGCAATGCCTTGTGACAGCCTGACATGCATCAGCACCGAGCACGATTTGAATGCACACATGCAGCCAATTGGTAAAGGCACAGCACAGATGGACCATGATAATGATATTCAGGCAACTCCTTGGCTTTCTCATTTGAAGCAATATGAGGGTCCAGCTTGGCCTGTCCCAAGTGAAATCACATAGTAGCAAGCACAAAAGAACAGAGATGTACAGGCAAACACAATATAATATTTACTCTTGGATTGCTTCATTCATGACATACATGTAAGAAAGTTTGAGCCTTCAAGTCTCTGGCTGAATCAATCTTTTGCCCCAAGATCATGATGTACTGCGCCAGCTGCTGATATGGAGACACAGTAGCACTGGTTGCAGGAAACGAAACTCGTTCAATGGGACCTTTCCTCAGGACATCAACAACAATGGCAGATATGCAGTAAATCAACACATGAGTACGTATATTGATCCAAAGCACGGTAAAGGAGTCGTGACACCAGGTCCAGTACTTGAGGACGAATCCTTCTGACCAGAACCTGCAGAAGCAGTCCCCTCCAGCGCAGAAAAGATCGATCCACTTTGATCCTGCAAATTGCCATCCAATAAGATGAACTGCTGAACAACAAACTGAACTGCACATTTACAAGCAGACATAAGCAAACCCCTTCTCACTGTCCTCTGATACGAAGTGGCTTTGCGATTGCAACTCTGACACTGTTCTTTTCTGCTTCTCACGGCAAGAGTCAACATCAAGGTCCACATATTCAGCCTGATTCACTGGGTGTTTGTATACTTTGCCCTGTTGGTTGGCCCAGGTCCAGGTATTCTCGATCATGGTCCTAATATCACCACCATGCATGCACAATGCCACACTGACACACCAACAAATCAGTTTAACTTCTCATCGTTGCAAAGCAGCACAAGACACTAAAGCATCAAGGGCACTCATCCCAATGATAGATTTCCTTCAACATTTGCTTCGTTACTGGCTTCTCTCGAGTCGTGTCTGTCACAGACTCCTGGCAAAGTTTCCTTGCAACATGCTCACATTCTGTCAGACTTCCACTCTTCACCAGAGCTTCTTTCATCTTGTGGCCTCTAACATGATGGACAAGGGCAAGATTACTCTTCAGATTTGTTGCAATGCAGTGTATGCACAACAAGAGCAACTCACATTCCCAACTTGCAATCCATTAATGCTTCCTAGAATCGTTTCTCAGGGTCTTTCCAAGCTGCCATCAACTCATCTGTTTGCAGGTTCATGACATGGCGACGGATCCTTGAATTCATCAACCCAAAAGCAAGTACCTGTGCATTTGAAAACAATCACACAACAACATGTGTTGTCAAGAAACTTGTGGTCGTATTTGTCATATGCTCCAGGCGCCTTTCCAATCCTTTCACATATACAGTTGTAGACTGAACACAGAAACCTCAACCACAGCAAATACAAAGAACACAACAACTAGCAGTCCTTGCATCTGCCAAGGCTTGCTTGACCCATTCATCATCTTCATCACCAAAGAGTGCACGTTCAGCCTCCTCTATTTGTTCTGCACCAGGCTGAGATCTGGCCCCACCATCTAACCTGCCCTGGCCAGAAGAGTCACCTCCAAGAGCCTGAGAAGCCATTTCGCATCCATCGTCAGGACTTACCATGTCCCAGTTGATCAATTGGCAAACCCCTTTGTCAAAAATGTTCCGACAATGTTGTTTGATCGGAACATGACAGTTCTTCGGCACAATGGTTGTCTTCCTCAGAGCAACCCGCTCAGTCCCTGGTGATACCATCTCCACACGGGCGCCCACAATGCCTGTACTTGGAATTGGTTCCTGACTGCATCGTGGCTCACACTGCAACCAAAGACAAATACTCATTAGTCCACAAGAGCAGTGTGCATGCATGTTGTTTGTTTCTTCAATCTTCTAGAGCAAGTGATGCATTTATATCGTTTCACAGGAAACAACATATCAGAAGTACATGTTCAATGCAAGCAACATGCCAACAAGCAGTGAAACATGTCCTTGGGTTCCACTGCAGATGCGTGGGTAGCAAGTGCTTCCTCTGAAGGTGGAGGTACTGGTTGTTCTGGTGCTCTCCCACCAGGTCCATCAGCTTCCTCCACATACATCAAAGCCAAGCAAGAGTCACAACAGATGATTTAAAACAATGCGCACACACACACACATCACACATACATTAAGCACAGGTTGTGGACATGTCCCACTCGATCACATTTAAGTCCTCTCCATCTTTCCGGCCAATTTCACCAGGTTGTGTCTCCAGCTCCTCACACATATCATTATCACAGCTTGGTTTTAGTTGGCCAGATTTGGAAGCATATCAAATTTATGCCAACAACAGTGTTCAACAATGTCCTCAATTTGGTTTGGCTGTCGTGTGGCCAGGGAGTCTAAGGTGACCTGAGCAATTCATCCAAAAGGCATGTGACATTGTTTTGCACAGCATGCAGCTCTAGATATTCCAGTGGCATTGTGTGTTTGTCGTAGCCACACAAATGACCAAATTCCAACTAGATGCATACAAGCATCCACACTGTTTCCAGGTGCGTGATTTCCAGGGTCAGCATTAGCATAGAAGCGATGACCTGTACAGATTCAATTGCACAAAAGGTAGTCAACCCCACACAGCACTCAGCAGAATTCATGCAGCTCACCTGGCGCCGCTGATGGCACATCCAATGGCAAAGCCCGAGTTGGATCAGAGTTGAGCTGAGCTTGCAATCGTGAGATTCTTGCAAGCTTGTCCTGGCAACAAGATGCAACTAAGATTGGACACACAGTGCACAGTTACAAGACACACATGCAAGTACAAATCAAGCACTTCCTGGATTTGTTTGTCCAAATCACCATCATCCATGGTGCTAGTTGTGCCAAACCTGAGAAGATCTACACCTGCAGCTAACGAGTCCCTGGACATGTTCCTGAGCCAAGCTGAACAATGAAAAACACATCGAACTAGTTGACCAAAGTGGTACAGATTTTTTTATGCGCTCGTTTCGCGCGATTTCGCGCGCGTTTCGCGCGTTTTCGCGCGCGTTTCGCATCAAAGCCTCCAACCTCAAAGTCCACAAAACAGTACATGCACAGGTATTTGCAACACAAACACTGATATTTTTGGTCATGTCGTCCTTGCATCAGCCAGCAGTGGCATCAGCCAACAGTGGCCCTGAACTCAATATCAAATTGTTGCATGGTCTCATGCCATGAATTGGGAATCTCCAATTTGGAGTGGCACCAAAGATAATCCCAAACTTCCAAGACCTGGGCATCGTGCCAAGGATCTCCAAGAGGAATTGACTCAAACAACTCCCGGTCACTCAGGTGTGGGGGGCACCCCAACTTTCATCCTGACATCTTCATAAACCAAAAACTTGAACGCACACTTGGAATTTGTGTATTTCAGCA